GGAGCTGCGTATGGAGCTGAGAGCCTGGGCTTTCAGCTCCCACACTGTCCCTCTTAAGTCAGTGAAAGTGCTCCTGGTGAGGAAGCGTACCGCTGACAGAGGGTGGGTAGTATGGATATTAACAACCGCAGTACTTACTGTGGTGATTGTAAGTAGACATGCCCTTAGAAATGGATAAATGGTTTGAAACAGGAGAAGCCTTCCGGTCAGCATAGGTAATGTCTTCACTGAAGCGCTACAGTAGGGCAGCTGCTGAATTTTAAGTACGGACAAGTCCTAAGTATAGAACTTACAGCTCATTTTGGATCTGTGCCCTGCTTCTCAACAGTCTGCCCTGAGGTTGGTACTCATGCTCTTGATTCACTACAGGACAGCTCGACTCACACACCACACATCCCTCAAAACATCAGTGATATGGTGGAAGATTTCCAAGCTCATTATATTTGATGTCCATCCAAGCACAAACATAAGGAAGTTTACTTACCCAGAGCAAAACCACACTTTCTCTTTCACTGACCTCTGAAAGCTACTTTGCTAAGTTGATGACCTACAGATGGGACTGAAGAATGGAGGCAGAAATCCGTGGTTCTGCCTCACTATTTTAATAGATGCTGAAAGTAAAAGTTTCTCCAAAAGCACTAATGCCAGCCATTTGCACTACTCTTGCCTTGTCTTTACAGTTCTCATAAAATGCCACCATTGCTACAGAAACTCTTTTGAAGTTAATTTAGTCCCAGTGAAAGGTGCCAAGTTCAAAGTTCCGGAGACAAGAGGCATTTGTGTTGTCACAGAACAGATTCAGCAACAGGCTGTAGTAGAGCTTCCCTAACAGTGTCATGCCAATGTCTCTCAATCCAGGGAATTCAGCATCAGCATCCATTAAGTTCTTGTCCTTGCTGTAGCAACTGACAATAAAGGTGCCAAGTGTGATCGCGGTTGTGATTTGGTGGATACGTCTTTTCCAGGAACTAGACTGAGACCTGCTTACAATGAATTGTTAGATGTAACAATTTCTGGACATGGCAGAGTTGAGACATTGGATTCTTTTGGAGGAACAGAAAGAGACAAGAAAAGCTATGCATCTTTTCCACTTCAATCACTCAATATCACTCCTTTAAATAGCTTTCAGGTTACACACGGTGCTCCTTTCAGCTTAGTTTAGGGCAGGGATCGGCAACCTTTGGCACGCGGCTCGCCAGGGTAAG